GGGTGGGGTGAAGTGGGGTCTGGGTCCTGTGGGGAGGGAAGGGCTGAACCCTGAGAGGTGGGAAGGGCTCTGGGCACACAGTGGCCAGCTTCGGATGCCCGGTGGCCAGGAGGGAGATGACCAAGAGCCCCCAGCAGGTGGGTCAGTGGGACCAGCACCACAGGGAGGCGTGAGAGGACAGGGCACTGAGGCAGGTGGGGGGATGGGGGGCGGGGGGCGACCTGTGTAAGGGTGCCGAGCCGCCTCTGCCCCAGCCTGACGCTCAGCCACAGCTGATACAGACACACAAAGCCACTGTGTTCTTCTCACTCTTGGCAGCTGCTTCTACAAACGCCACCTTCTCCTCCCTCCCAGAATTCAGCTTTTCAAAGTCTGTCCTCTGACAGGAAAGGGTTCGCCAGGGCCCTTGGGGCCCTCAGACCTTGGTGCCCTCTGCCCCTTTCTACTGCCCACAGTTGCTGGTGCCTAGGAATCCCATCCACAAACATCAAGTGGGTTTATTAATGGCTGGGCCAACCTCAGGCCCAACACACAAGGCTCCCACACCCTCGGCCCAGGCCCCGCCCACTGCGCGTGGCCAGCCTCACCTGCTGGAGCCTGCCTTTCAGAAGGAAGCGTGGCAGGGCGCCTAAGGCCAAGGAGAAGCCACAGCGAGTCATTTCCTCGGGGTTCCGAAGCTCAGCCAGGTACTGCGTGATGAGCGCCTCTGAAAGGAGTAACGGGTGTGGAGGGGGCCCTCTGCTGCCCGTTCACAGTCACACTGGACGCGTGCCCCAAACAGCAGCAAAGCCACGGTCAACAAGGGAGCCACCGCCTCAGGCTCCCACAGCAGGCACGTTCCAAAGGGACCTCCCTCAAAATAGGAATCGAAAACAGGAATTTGGTTTTTTTTGAGATAGGGTCTCATTCTGTGACCTAGGCTGGAGTGCAGTGGTGTGACCTCCGCTCACTGCAGCCTCGAACTCACACCTAGCCTCCCAAGTAGCTGGGACTACAGGCGTGTGCCACCACGCCCAGCTAATACAGGATTTTTATGTACTTACAATAATTTTAAGTGGCGATTTATACACTTTCAATATGATTAATGATGCATGTTCTATCATATGACATAAAGGAACACTGTGGGCCAACATACGCACATGTGACACTTTAAAAATAAAAAGTACGATTCGTGAAGCAGATCCCAGATCCCGCCCACAGTAGGACACAATGTTTGAGAAATGAGCCCGAGCTTCAGCACGGGTGGGGCGGCGGGGAGGTGCAGGACATGCCATGAGGCAGCACTGCAGCTACACACGGGACACAGCGTGAAGCCAGCCTTATGCTACTTTTGTAAAAAAGGGAAAAAGAGCAAAATGTGTAACGAGTGAAGAACACACTGCAGAAAAATGGTGCATACAACCATTCTGAAAACACTGGCCAGGTGCAGTGGCTCATGCCTGTAATCCCAGCACTTGGGAAGCTGAGGTGGACGGATCACCTGAGGTCAGGAGTTCCATTCCAGCCTGGTCACAACATGGTGAAACCCCATCTCTACTAAAAATACAAAAATTAGCCAGGTGTGGTGGCAGGCACCTGTAATCCCAACTACTCGGGAGGTTGAGACAGGAGAATCGCTTGAACTCAGGAGGCGGAGGTTGCAGTGAGCCGAGACTGGGCCACTGCGCTCCAGCCTGGTCAACAGAGCGAGAATTCTTTTCAAAAAATAAAATAAAATTAAAAATGTATCTATAGGCCGGGCGCGGTGGCTCACACCTGTAATCCCAGCACTTTGAGAGGCCGAGGTGGGCGTATCACAAGGTCAAGAGATCGAGACCATCCTGGCCAATATGGTGAAACCCCGTCTCTACTAAAAATACAAAAATTAGCCGGGCGTGGTGGCATGCACCTGTGGTCCCAGCTACTCAGGAGGCTGAGGTGGAAGAATCGTTTAAACCCAGGAGGCCAAGGTTGCAGTGAGCCGAGATTGCGCCACTGCACTCCAGCCTGACGACAGAGCAAGACTCCATCTCAAAAAAACAAATGTATATATACACATATCTATAATGTAAGAAAACACAGCTGAAACCAAGTGTAGCTTCTGCACTGGAAGAGTTAACACTGTGCTCCAGGACCAGCCGCCGGCGTGTGGTCAGCAGAGCTGAGTCCCTGCAGAGCCACCTGTTCAGAGCTGAGGCCACATCCTGGGCAGCTGTGGGAAATGCCCACACACAGGTCCTCAGCTGGGAACTGAGACCTGAACGTGGAGAAAGCCTGCCTGAGCAGTGCCCCAGGAGGAAATGCATGAGTGCTCCTGTATGGCCTGATCCCTTCCTGTCAGCCGCAATCCAGTGGCTCTGCTCCACTGCACGGTCAGGCCTCCTCCCCAGCAGCTTCTCGCTGGACCCCAGGGGCCTTCAAGGGAAGGGCCCCTCACTCACCCTGGATTGCGGGATCGGCCTCCCCTGGCTCCTTCATGTAATATTCACTGCAGAGAGCAGCCAAGGCTGAGACTGCTGCGTCCTAAAACAAAGGAAGCCCAATGAGTGCACAGCAGATCTGCCTGGAGAAGCCTCTATCATGGACACAGCGGGTCGCCCCAAGGTCGGAGAAGCCCTCGGCCAGGGACACAGCGGGTCGCCCTGAGGT